TAGGATGTAGGAAATTACATTTGGTCCTGCTTTGAGCAGGGGGTTGGACTAGATGACCTCCTGAGGTCCCTTCCACCTCTGAGATTCTATGATTATAATAGGTGTTATATCTTCAGAATGCTTCAGAATGGGTGTGAGGATTAACTCGTTAATCCTCACACCCATTTTAAAGATGGGAAAACTGAGGTAGTGAGTGTGATGGGGTGTTCACTCTGAAGGGGTTAATGGAGGTAGTGAGTGTGATGGGGTGTTCACTCTGAAGGGGTTAATGGGGGTAGCGAGTGTGATGGGGTGTTCACTCTGAAGGGCTTAATGGAGGCCAAATCACGAAGAGGACGGTGTGGTTCCTGGAGCAAGAGAGGTGCTGCAGACCAGAAAGAGAGACAGAGTGATGTTATGCAACGACAGGAAGGAGCATAGACCTCGCGAGCTAATCAACAGGGTGGCCAGGCAGAGGCGCCAGCCTAGTAATGAGTGGAGCACCCCATGAGTTTAAGCTACTTGCTCAATTTAACCAGAACTCAGAAGTTTCCAACTCCCCCTCCCGTGTTATACCATTAATCCACACTGCTCTAGAAGCACTGATGAGTATACTTGATGTTAGCATCTCCCTTTTCCCTTCCTCCCCATCCCTTCCCAGGCCCCTCTTAGCTGCTGCTCCCCTCCACCAACAAAACCAGACCACAGCCCAGTCAGGCAAGCGCTAGACCCTCTCCTCGTTTGCTAGAACACATTCCCCACAATTTGATACCTAATTTCACTTCGGTTCTTTCCTGGTCTCCAGCTTGAGCCGCAAGCACAGGCCGCCTCCTTCTCTCTGGTTCTGGGTCAGGACTGGAACTGGTAGCAGGGAAGGTGTGTAAGGTTAAGACTCTGCTGAAACAAGTTATTGTCTTGCTTCCCAGCTGCTTGAGACTGTTCCTGGGCGTGCTCCCAAGCATCCAAGCTTAACCCTAGTGCCTTGTCTATGTGCAAAGTTTCACTGGTTCAACTTTAAATCAGTTTTAAAACCAATTTAGTTAAACTGGAGCAAAGAGACTCAATTTGAGACTCAATTTGATTTAAACCTGGTTACATACAATGTAGCCTAATAAGACACTAAGTTCATTTAAATCATTAGTTAAGATAAACTGATACAAACCAGGTTTAAATCAAAGTAAGGGTGTCCACATAACATTCTGTACCATTGGTTTAAAAAAAAAAATCACACTTTTAGCTACAAACTATACCATTTTGAATATAAAGGTATTCAAATTTGGCACCGCCGATCTATCTGGAAATTAGCCAGTTACCTTCTGAAACAAAGCTAAATCTGCTTTTGTCCTTCATTACTTCAGAATGATTTATTAACTAAATGACCTTATAATAACTTTCCCCCACCAGATTAAGTAAACACATTTCTCCTTGTTTTTTTACTCTTGAAATATCAGGACTGATCAGTTCCCTGTCTTTGTTGCAGGTGATTTGCAAAATCTTTGGGGGACTTGAATAGTGGTAACTAAGCAGCTGCCTCTCTTCTATCCCACAGCTTTGTGAAACTTGATTCCTGGAGAGTCTAAGGAACTGCCCCACAGTTCGGACTGCAGGGGTGTGAATAGCAATGCGCAACAAAGTGCCATACTGTAACTCCCCTGTGCAGATGCTGCAGGTGAAAACTAAAAGGTTCCTAGTGCACGTTAATTGAGTTCTTTTCCAACAGGACTACATTAACGCAAACTGGACACCTTTTCATTTGCGCCTTCACCATCTACATGGGGAATTACAGCGCAGCACTTTGGTGCACTCTGCTATTCAGATCCCCATAGTCCGAACTGTGGGGCAGTGTAGACAAAGCCCGAGGCTTGGATCCTGATTCAACTCAGCACTACGCATATGCTTAAACCCATACCTTGTTTCAACATGAGCTCAATTGCTTTGCTGAATCGGGCTGTGAGTGCAGATCACAGCTTTGTGACATGACTATTCAGGTTCTCCAAAACCTTGCCAAGGAGCTCCATGGAATAGAAGGGGGGGCATTGCAAAGTTAAAAAAAAAAATACGAGCGGAAAATGTTTTGAAAAACAGCAACTGCCTTAAGCCAACCTTTATACCTCACAAAGGAGCGGGGGGAAATGTCTTTGCTTTGAAGTTCTCCATTTGGATTAATGGGGATTTGTATGAGTCAATGTTTCATCATAATTTATCACTCATTCACATTACAATAGAATTCAGGCTTTAAGTCTTTGGAAGAGAAGGCATCAAAAATATAAAATATATGTGAGGGAAATAGTGTATCTTAATGGCTTTCGGCTGGACAGAATTACTCACATGAGTGAGATTAATGGAATTCCCTGTCAGAATAATGCTTTGCATGCTCCCTAACATCTGTCCCATGAAGTCACAGCTGCAGAAGTTGTTCCTGTTATAAATTAATATTTACTGTCCTGAAGAGTAGTTTCCTGAGTAGTGTAGATGAGAGAAGTACAAAGTGAAGCTGAGCTGGACTGGCATCCATACCAGAAATAACACAATGATGTTCTCCTGTCAGAAGAGCTGGTCAGTGAGAAATCATTATTTTTTATTTGCAAAGTCAGCATTTTATGCATTTACTATTTGCTCATAAAGGGCCCCATACTTACTAACACTGAGTATTGCCTTACCCCAGGAGTAGCTTTATTTATTGTAATGGCACTTCTTGTGGAATAAGGTACCAATCTACATGAGTAAGGGTGATAGAATCAGACCCATATTATTTTAAGGAGAGAAAACACCTTGCTGCAGCCTACTGGAAGAAAACAAACGTCCTCACTACCATTCATGACTACTCAAGGGCCAGGAGGTGATACTACATCACTAGTCTATACTCACCATTTCCCTCTAATAACTGGAAGACTGTTATTGCAAGTGACTGAATTTTGCAAATTAGCAGGCAAATGAACAAGACCATATATACCAAGTATACTGCACCACAGCTTGTACTTTGTTCATACTGGGTACCATTTTTAAAAGCATATAAATGACTGAGGAGCTCTTAAGTCACTTAGGAACATTTTGAAAGGTTCCTAGGTACCTAAAGATGTAGGTACCTAGTGGGGTTTTCAAAAGCACGTAACTTCCATCGATTTCAATGAGAGTTAGGTGCCCAGGTGCTTTTGAAAATCTCAGTAGGTGCCTATTTGCATCTTTAGGTGCCTAAATATCTCTAAAAACGTGACCCTTAGGCACTTCTGATAATTTTATACACAAGGCCAAATCCCATGAGGTGCTGACAACCTCTACTCCGTAGCCACTAACGTTAATGGGCACATGGAACTCCCTGCCCCAGCACTTAGAGTCACAGAGTCTAAGGCCAGAAGGGCCCACCAGATCATCTAGCCTGAGCTCTTGTATATCACAGGCCACCCAGCACCCGTACACTAAACCCAATAACCAAAATGAGACCAAAGTTTTACAGCCCACCAGAGATTAAACTGTTATATGCCACAGGCAAAAAATAGGAGGGATCAATCTGACCCAGGGGGAAATTCCTTCCCAACCCCACATATGGTGATTGGTTAGACCCTGAGCATATGAGCAAGAAATAGCCAGCTAAGAGAAATAATGCTTGGTGCCATCTCCGAGCCCTGACCCTCCCTGTCCAGTGTCCCATCTCCAGACATGGCCATCTCTGATGCTTCAGAGGAAGAAGACCAAAAAACAAAAATCCAACATGAGGAATCGGGTGTGTGTAGAAAATCCCTTCCTGACTCCTGCAGGTGACTAGATGACACCCTGCTGCATGAGCTTTAAGACCTAAACCATAAGGGACCTCCAGGACTGCTGAGCCCTGCTGCCACCATCAAAAGCAATCCTGTCATACAATCCCACTCATATGTTCTCTGCCCAGCCCTGCCCCAATCTGTTCTTTCTTTCCTTATTTCCTTTCTTTTATTTAAATACCCACTTCTTACTGCCCTGGGGTGTGCTTGGAGAAAAGAATCCAAAGCATACATTTATCAACTAAGCCCCACCCACAGGTAGGGCTATGCCAGAGGGAACAGTCAGGTCCTTTATAAAGAGTATATACAGGGAAATTCTCATCATCCCACACAAAACTCTGATAAACAGTCCCCGTATGGTTGCCCTGTTGATGGGGACCCTAGTTATACAGGATCCCACAATGAAGGAGGTTAGGTTGGCTCCCGCATTAGACAAGAGCTGGTGAAAAGCAGGCTGCTTTTCTTGTGTTGGCCAAAACATTTTTCCCGTCGTATACAGTGGTTAAGTTCAGGACTGACTAGACACTCAGGATCTTTAGGGACTTTGGAAGTTCCTGGAAGGAGGCATGGCTGATCTCAGTTGTGATTATGGGAGCAAGCTGTGCTTTGTTAAACTTCACCAACCATGAGAGATGGGGTCAGAAACACAGGCGATGGGCTGGACGTTCCTCTGAGTTTCCTGCATTTCCATTTGGGTGATTTGATGGGGTGGGTGTCATGCCTGTTTCTGGTTACTTCAGTCTCAGCAAAGCTCATTGTGATCATTAATTATTATTTTGTTGTTAAAGATATAGAAACTTGTAAGCATAGTGGTGACTAGTCCTTCTTAATTATATTTAGCTTAGATAGTCACATAAATCTCCAGTGGAAACTTACTGAAGTTTGTTTATTTTGGACCTTTCTCTAAAATGAACGGTCTCCCTGTTTTTAGTTGACTACTACTAATACTAGAACAGTGCTGGAGTAGAATGACAGTTCTTTTGCAGAGAGCTCTGGCTGATCCTCTGAGCTCCAGTAACATTGTTTACTTCGGGCATGCAGTGCAATACTGTGATTAACACTTGCTTATTGCATACTTTTGTGTCAGTTAAAGTTTCCATTCCAGCCCTGACATGGCGCCAAGTGAATCAGAGGGGCTGGAATAAGGCCTGCCATATTTGAAGAGATCCAGCTGCTTGGAAACATCAAGTGTCAGCAAAGAAAGCATAGTTCAGCAGGAGCTCCACTATCAATTCCTCAGCAACCGTATCTGACCGGGTCTCAGATAAGCTAAATCAATACATAACCAAAGGGTCAATGTCTGAAGACGGTCAGAACCTTCCAAACCATCAGCGTTTCCCATCTGCCACTCCTTCGGTCAAAGAGCTGGAGCATGTTTTGGACAGCTGCAGGATGGAATTAAATCATGTGGATGAAGTGTGGCCTAACCTGTATATAGGGGATATGTAAGTGTTATTTGAAACTGAGCCATTCTTTATGATTGTCAATGTAAGCGGTCTCACTGTTTTACTTGGTGATATCTGTAAAACAACTAGTAGTTTTAAAATTGACTTTTAGATTAGAACTGGAGTGTGCATTACACACTAAAGAAAGTACTTACCATACCAAAGAATACAGTTAGAAAAGAATTCCCACATGCAATATTTTTCTCTATTATTTTATATAATTATTACAATTATTTTTAATGGATTTTACAAATACTACAAACAGTACATTCTCAAGTTGTGCATACAACTGTGACAGAGCTCTCTAAATTTGGTATAGAATATTTCTCATTTCATGAGACATGTTTTGTTTTTCAACAGATTTCCATGAAATGGATATTTTCACATTAAAAAAATTTAACATTCTAAAATTTGTTTTTAGAGCAAACTGATCTTCAGCTGGATTTTTTTGCTCACAAATATAACCATTTTTTAAATTAAACTGGACCCATTACTTTTGGTTAATAAGTTTGTGATGAAGCAGAGAAACTGCCTGCCAGCATGGCAGGGATTAAGGACAGCCTTTGGGCCCAGCTAAGCCTGCCGCCAATGCCAGGCCTGGAGGGGGTAGAAAAGGCTCAATTCAGTGCTGACTGGTGACAGGGCCGGTGCAAGGATATTTTGCGCCCTAGGCGAAACTTCCATCTTGCGCCCCCGCCCCCCTCCCCACATCGGTTCATTGAGGGGCAAATCCCAACGAGCCTTTATAGACTCCAGAGGCCAGCCTGCCCAGGGGCCAGCCATGCCCAGGAGCTGCTCACCAGACCAGGTTCCCCCCTCCCCGCCCCCTGAACTCCCCTGGAGGATGCACAGCCGACCCGCGAGCCCTCCCCACCCCACCCCGGCGGCCCCCGCCCTAAGTCCACTCACTGGCTTTGCCGGGCTTGGGCCTCTGCAGCAGCTCGGCAGGGAGGAGCCGCCTTCCGGGGGCACCGGAGAGCCAGAGCGTCCCGCTTGCGGCGGCGGTGAGCCCCAGCCATGGAGGAGCCGGCGCGGTGCAGGGGGGGCAGCAGCCCTGCAAAGGCGGCGGTGCAGCTAGCGGGGAGCATCCGACCCCTGCCCCTCCTGCTCAGGCTGCAGCTCGGCGCCCCCCAGGGGGCTCCTGCAGGCTGCAGCAGATGCATGCGGGCGCCAGCCCCCCCATGTGGCCCCCGGTTCCTCCCTCGCTGCGCTCGGGCTCTGCGGCTCCCGGGCATGTGAGCTGCCGCCGGGGCGCAGGGCCCTGAGCCTGCTCCGGGCGGTGCAGCAGGGGCTCACATGCCCGGGAGCCGCAGAACCCGAGCGCAGTGAGGGGGAAGCTGGGGGGTGCGCCTGCCCTGGCTATGACCCGCCCAGCACCCCACCCCCCCGGTGGCTCCTGTGGTGGATGCATGTGGGCGGCGACCCCCGTGTCCCCCCCGGCTCCTCCCTTGCTGCACTTGGGCTCTGAGGTTCCCGGGAGTGTTAGCCGCCACCGCTGCTGCCCCTCCCAGAGCAGGCTCAGGGCCCCGCGCCCTGGCGGTGGCTCACATGCCCTGGAGTTGCAGAGCCCAAGTGTGGCGAGGGGGGAACCAGGGGGCGCATGGGGGCTGCTGCCCGCATGCATCCGCTGCAACCTGCAGAAGCCCTCGGGGGGGGCGGGGCCGGGCCACAGCCTGGGCAGGAGGGGCAGGGGGTGCGGCTGCTCCCCACTAGCAGCACCACCGCCTTTGCAGGGCTGCTGCCCCCCTGCGCTGCGCCAGCTCCTCCATGTCTGGGGCTTGCCATCCCCGCAAGCCGAAGCTCTGGCTCTCTGGTGCCTCCTGAAGGCGGCTCCTCCCTGCCGAGCCAGGGCACCACTTTTTTAGGGTTACCATATTTCAATAATCAAAAGAGAGGATGGGGGGGAAAGCCCCACCCGAGCCCCACCCCCACCATCCACTCCCTCCCACTTCACGCCCCCCTCAGAACCTCCAACCCCCCCCCCGCTCCTTGTCCCCTGACTGCCCCCTCCTGAGACCCCCCCACACGAACTGCCCCCCTAGGACCCTACCCCCACCTTTCCCCTAACTGCCCAAACCCTTATCCACACCCTCGCCCCCAGACAGACCCCCAGGACTCCCATGCCCCATCCAATCACTCCCTGCCCCCTGATAGCCCCCCCAGAACTCCCGACCCATCCAACCCTCCCCCTGCTCCCTGATAGCCCCCCGGGACTCCCCTTACCACCATGCCACTTGAGCCGCTGGCCAAGCCAAACCAAACAAGCTGCTGAGCACACAGCCCCTCCCCCGCAGAGTGCTGGTGACACGACACTGAGGCAGGGGGAGCAGGGGAGGGGATCTGCCTGCTGGAGGCCAATGGGAGCAGCTAAATCAGGCCCAGGTGCCCAATCAGCCACGCCACACTCTGCGTGAGGGGAAAGGAGGGGAGGGAGGAAAAATCCCAGACGCCCCCAACCACTTGGCGCCCTAGGCGACCGCCTAGTTCGCCTAGTGGTTGCACCGGCCCTGACTGGTGAAGAGGCAGGAGCTAGCTACAGCCCTACCTGAAAGGAAGGATCACTAGCCTACAGGCCAAGTCAGCCACTATGGAGCATGTTCTGTCTGCCAGACAAGGGAGATTGCAGAGAAGAGCTAGGAGCCTCCAGTAACTGGGTGACTGCACCCCAGAGACATTGTGGGGTTTGGCTTCACCAAACTTACAGCCGCCCCACCTGAAGGAGTGTGGGAACATGGCAGGATGCAGCCCAAGATCCACGAGAAGGCGCCAAGGGAGGCAAGCCATCCCAACAAATTGGACTATATGGGCCATGCCCCAAACTGAAGGGACACTGGTAGGAAGTAGCCTAGGATTGCCAACTTTCTAATCGCACAAACCGAACACCCTAGCCTCACCCCTTCCCCGAGGCCCTGTTCACTACATTCCCTCTCCCTTGGTGGCTCGCTGTCCCCCATCCTCACTCACTTTCACTGGGCTGGGGCAGGGAGTTGAGGTGCAGGAGGAAGTGAGGGCTCCAGGGGTGGGGCCAGAAATGAGGGGTTCAGGGTGTGGGCTCTGGGGATGAGGGGTTTGGGGTCCAGGAAGGGGCTCCAGGCTGGGGGGTGGGGCCGAGGGATTCAGAATGTGGGAGGGGGCTGGGGTGTGGGAGGGGATATGGGATCTGGGCTGGGGGTGCGGGCTCTGCGCTGGGGCCAGGGATGAGGGATTTGGGGTGCAGGAGGGGGCTGCAGGTTGAGGCAGGGGATTGGGGTGCAGGAAGGGATAGGGGCTCTGGGATGGAGGGTTTGGAGTGCAGGAGGGGGCTCTGGGTTTGGAGGGGCGCAGGACTGGGGCAGAGGGTTGGGGTCCAGTGGGGTGAGGGCTCTAGCTGGAGGTGCAGGCTCTGGGGTGGGGCCGGAGATGAGGGGTTTGGAATGCAGGAGGGGGCTCCAGGTTTGGGGGTCTCAGGGCTGGGGCAGGGGCTCGGGATTGGGGCATGGGCTTACCTCGGGCAGCTCCTGGTCAGCAGTGCAGCGGAGCTAAGGCAGGCTACCTGCCTGTCCTGGCTAAGCACTGCATCCCAGAAGCAGCCAGCAGCAGGTCCGGCTCCTAGGCAGGGGGACCAGGAGGCTCCGTGTGCTGCTCGTGCCCAGAGGCAACGCCCCTCCCCCCCCCAGCTCCCATTGGCCACGGTTCACAGCCAAAGGGAGTGCGGAGCCAGTGCTTGGGGTGGGAGCAGTGCAAGGAGCCCTGTGGCCCCCCCCCCCAGCTAGGAACCGGACCTGCTGGCCGCTTCCGGGGTGCAACACAGTGCCAGGACAGGTAGGAACTAGCCTGCCTTAGACCTGCAGTACTGCTGTCCGAACTTTTAACAGCCCGGTTGGCAGTGCTGACCGGAGACACTAGGGTCCCTTTTTGACTGGGCATTCCGGCAACCCTAAAGTAGCCCAGGGCAGTGGATTTAGATTCCCTCCTTGGAATGCCCCCTGTTCAGGAGTCAACTCACACAGGGCCCTGGGCTGGGACCTGATGGAGTGGGAGGGTCCGGGACCCCTACCCCCCACAGTCTGAAAGACTGAGGCACTTTGACCAAGGAAACAAAGGGTTGGAAGTTGGGCACCCCAATCATTAGGCCACCCGGACCTACAAGCACCCTGTTACAAAGTTATTTTTGGAATATTTTTGCTCTATTTTGGAGCTGTGGTAGCTATCCCATTCTTAGACCTTGACTCAGCAAAGCACTTAAGCACATGCTTAACTTTAGGTATGTTCTTAAATACAATTGAAGTCAATAAGATGTAAGAATGTGCTTAAAGTTATACATGTGCTTTACCGCTTTGCTGAATCAAGGCCTTAAGATAGATGAAATTTTTCTTATAAGCCCAATTTAACCCTTTCCTACAGCTCCCCCAGAAGACTCTAACCTTCCTAACACTTTCTATGCTGCTTCTCAACTCTTCCCTAACTGCAAAATTTCTTATCTTATTTAAATACACACACTGACTTCTTTGCATTATAGCTTTAAAATAATCAACTATACAATCTGCACTGTTGGCCACAGAAATCCAGAAAAGAAAACATAAGTGTTTACTGCTTAGGAAGTATTTAAGTATGTGCTTTTCATGCTTAGTCCCAGTGGGCCTATTCCCATGCTTAATATTTGCTAGATCAAGGCATTTAAATTTCAAAGGTGGATAAATTAGGCCCTAACCAGAAAGCCCTTTGCATGCAGAACTCCCACTGGGGTTGATAAACATTCCATGCTCGGAGGGCTTCCTGATCTGGAATCGCAATAGAGAAGTGTCATTAGGGGCGGTACAACTGGGAGAGAAGGATTTCATTCCAGCCCTACAGAGGTCACCTGCACAAAGCCCTTTGACATGAATTTTGTGCAGGGTCGCTAGGATTTCACCCTGTATTTGCTTCTTTCTGATGCATAAAGAAACATTAATTTTGCCAACTGTGCAAGTCTAGAACCCTGTTTTTATATCAAACAGGTCCCCCTGCACCATCAACAGGCTTAAATATTTGGACATAGTAATCATGATAATTACCATAAGAGAAGGAAGGAGCTACTAGTGATTCTTTAGCCACATTTCCCTATGATTATATTTGAAAACTGGAAGTATTAGCAATAATCGAACAGAGCATAAAATAATGAGCAAGCATGTGCTGGGGAAACAAGACCATATGTTTTAAAAATTGAAACAATACTTTATGTTTCAAATTCTGCAAGTGCAAATCATGAGTTCTAATCTGCTTTCCAAACCTGTTGGATTTGAGGCCAGTAATCCTGCAATGGTATAATGGAGGCCTTGTCATGCTGGCAACATGCCACAATTGGTGGCCATCTTTGTTGCATTTTTATTTTAAAATGCATTTATTTTGTTGAAGGGTTTAATAATGTCAGTGGAAATCTGTATTCTTTCAAGAGCATTTTTAAAAAATCCCTGGTTTCCATTCACAGTTGAGAACAGTGTCTGTGTGTGCTCCGCAAAGATCCAACAGCAGAAAGGGCTGAGCAGCTGAACAAGGCAGCAGATCTTGAATATCGAAGAAGAACACAGAGTTATTTAAAAATTGAAATGAGTAAAAAGCAAAACTACAGAGTTTAACTGGAATTTATCAAGAACTGCAGACAGGATTTTTCCCCTCTATTGAAATCAGTGGGACCATTTGCACAAGCATCAACTATTCTCTGGAGTAAGCACCTTCTTAGGAGGGGAAGAGAAAGAAATAGAGGGCTTTGAAGTTAGAGCCCAAGTCCACTAGAGTCAATAGAAGTCTTTCCACTGAGTTCAATAGGCTTTGGATCAGGCCCTTTCTGAGCAAGCCTGTGTCAGTGGAGATTAATTAGCATCTGAACGGTGCCATACGGTACAGTAGTCCGTAGCGCTATCATAGATTTACAGTTTTGATGGCCTGTTTCCTGGGAATTAGCCCTGTATAATCACCCAGGAGGCTGCTTGGCAAGCGGAAATGAAAGAACAATCTAGAGTTAAGACTATATTTTGCTAATAAAGCCTTTTTCATCTTGAAAACTAGCTTCCAAATTTCTTATCTCATACTGTGCAAACAACCTGAACCTCTCTCCTTTAAAGCAGAATACTAATGGCTGCCTGCTATATGCTGCCGTTCATCACAGAGGATCCTAAGTGCTCAACAAACTGACTATTTACATTGATGTACATGCATCACCCATAGTGAAATGTAGTGCCCTTTGGAGTGGAAGGCTGAAGGCCTTGAACAGTGCAGAGGAATGCTGCACAACAGTTCAGGGCAAAACAGGAAGAATGCCTTCCACAAATGAATCTAGCTGCTGAATTTTAAGCAGGCAGAATGTAATTAACCATTGGAATTTAGCCAGGTTCCATGGGCTAACACCCCTAGTCCTGCAAAAATGCATTCGGAAATTATTACAGATCGAGGCAAAATGGCTGCAGACTAAACTAAAAGCTTGACTATGTCCTTTCAATCTGAACCCATTCGTGAAGTGAACCTCCTTGTCAAGCGCTCAGGGCCAACAAAACCCCTTGACTTCAGTGGGAATGAAGGCAGCTTTGCATCTCTCAGGATTGGGCTTTTAATTCTCATTAAAACTCATAGGAACTTACACAGAGAGAGAGAGAGAGAGAGAGAGAGAGAGAGAGAGAGAGAAGAGGTTATTTTCGTAGACATGAAATCTCTTTTCATATTTACATGCAATTGCATATTTTCTATGTGCAGCTCCTATGTGATCATCAGATTAGAAATCACAACTTTCTGTCTCATGCTTGGTGTTATGCCATGCAAACAACAGATCTCCAAGTGTAACAGGTCCTGAACTGTTCAGTGACATTCAGTCTCAATAAGAGGCATCAGGGACTTGACCACATCAAACTCTTTCATTTAATACTTTTCCTTGTGACCTTTTATACCTAATTCTTGGTAGCTTGATTGCACATGACAAGGAAGAACTGAGGAAACTTGGCATCACCCATGTACTGAATGCGGCACATTCCACATGGGAAAGTAAAGGAGACCAAGCCTTCTATGGCCAGGAAATCCATTATTGTGGAATAGCTGCAGAAGATTCAACTAATTTTAACCTGCGTGAGCATTTCTACCCTGCCTCAGAGTATATTAATAAAGCACTGAGTGCTCTGAACGGTAAGTGCCTCTCTTGATAATACTCTGTGCTTATGTAGTACTTTTATCCCAGGATCATCAGCTGCCATACAAACATTACCCAACACCACTGGGAGACAGACTACCAAAGCGCACTCACCTCTGGAGTGCCTCCAAGTGGCAGAGTGTGGAATCACAGTCCTTTTCTTGGCCCCCGCAGGCCAGCCTTGCTGTGTCTTCAATGGCTTGGCCCTCTGGCCAAGTCACAAAGTCTGAATGAACCCCTTCCAGGGTATTAAAGAGTCCAATAAATAAATGGTCTATTTTGCCCTCACTAGGGTCTTTAGCCCTGGCTCTGGACCCTTTAAATTCAGCCCTTTGTTCAGGCTCCCAAATAAGCTCCATCCCTTTCTTGGGGTTTACATCACTTTACCTGTAGCCAGTAAGGGAACCCGTGCCTGCCCATTACTCTGGGTTTCCAGCCCAGGAACCCAGTAAAGAGCCACCACGTATTGCTCAATCCAGTTAGTTGCCACTTGTTCCCTGGGCCTCTTCCTAACTGTATCCTTGAGCTTCACCCTTAGCTCAGGGTTAAGGTTCTCATGTCCTCTCTCCTCTGGAAACCCAGCTATGCACAATGCAGCCAGAACCAAAAACTCTGGTTATCTTTCAACCTCCTTTGGCCAGAGGGGCGCACCTTTCCTCATCCCTCTGGTCCCAGCCAGGAACTGGCTTACTACAGACCTGCAGCTCCTTTCATCTGGGCCAGCAGGGCCCTGATGGGCTGTCTCCCTTTAGAGATGGGAGGAAAATGGGACACCAAGAGGTTAAATAGCACACACAAAGTTACACAGCAAGTCAGTGGCAAAACTAGGCATCCAGGCTCCACATGGGTCCCCTTGTAATCACTAGACCAGCTTCCCTTTTTTGAACAGAAGGAAAAAGGCCTACGGAGGATGATGCTGTAGTTTAGAGAGTGGTTAATATATAACAGCTGGGATATGATGGCACCAGTGTTCTGCGTTGATTCATCAGAAAGCAAATGCACATGAATCACTCCTTCTCTGACTACAAAACAGCCAAGAGCAGATGTTGCAATAAGGTGATGTTGTGATACCAGCTATCACAGAGAGATGTGTCAATGAGCCATTGACAAGGTCCAGGGTCATGCTGTTTCCTTCTGTTATAAATCCATCAGGACACAGGCCAACATTACCAGTAATTACTGTTCGCTTATGGAATGGATCACTGTACTATTTAGAGGGCTAGATTCACCCCAGCTAACATCAACTGCACCTCCAAGAGCCAACGGTGGAGCTGTACTTCAGAGCAGATTCATCCCAAAGGAGAAAGCAGACAGTGTTTCCCCTTCCCTCCCCCCCGCGCCCCCCCACCCCCCGTGACCTTCCTCAAAAGGAGCCACCAGGGAAGGCAGTTGTAGATTCTGACAGAGGCTTCAGTAGGGATGTGCTGAATAAACACACCTCCCTGCAACCCTAGACACACCCAATTCTCCAACCACCACAAGCTTAGTTTTGGGCCATGATAGCTCCTTTTAGGCCCGTTAATGGAAGGTAGGTTGGGGCTACTTTCTGCCGGCACTGTCTCCCCTGCCCTCTGAGAGGATTTTCTGCCTCAGGGGCCATGCTCCGTAGAAGATGATGTGAATCAGGAGGGAATCTACCTCAGAGATACCTAATATCTCGTGGACTCTGAAGTCTGAACCCCTCTATTTAGTAGGAGTCCTCTTGCATGCTGCGAGATTGCACTAGCTATGGTGAAACACAATAGGCACTGGCTCTGTAAGGCCAGTATAAAAACCTGTGTGACCCAGTTGCATCTTGAGTGCCATACTTTTTTTTAAAACACCCATGAGAGGCACCATATGGTAAGCACTGACCTCTAGTTATCCACAGGAAATGTTTGGCACAGGCAGCAGCAGCAGCACTACAAGCTTCTCCTACAATACCCCTACAATATTCCTCAGTGCCTTTATTGAGGGAATGCCTCTGGATTTGAAAGCATTGACGATGCTTTCAATGAGTACTTGGCTTCTCTGCCAACAATGCCACATAATAGCGCTGCATTTTGAGCAGGAGATACTTGTTCAGAATTAACTTGCCTGAGACCCACGACCTATTTCATATACTGGAGGATGAATAACGATCACATTAGAATGGTTTTTGGTCATTGACCCGGGATGTATTCAAAGCAGTGTCCAAGAGGTGAAAACTAGGGTAGTCCATGATCAACGTGCTGAGCGGCCCAAGACTCATTGTGACACTTCTGAGCAGACTGGAGCAGCACAATTCATCTTTGTTTCTCTTTTTCAGGAAAGATCTTAGTTCACTGTGTTGTTGGTAAAAGCAGATCCGCCACCTTGGTGCTGGCTTACCTTATGATCTACCATCACTTCTCACTGACCGATGCTGTCCAACGTGTCATCCAGTACCGAGCCATTTCACCAAACCGAGGGTTCCTGAAACAGCTACAGGACCTAGATGTTGAATTGCGAGACAGGACAAACCTGTGTGAACTCTTATAATATGCGGGGAAGAAAAAAGATCAATAGTGACTACAAAATATGAAGTGCCCCACAGTGTTAAAGGAAGTAAAAAGATTAAATGAATCTGAACCAAAATTCTAGTACCAAAGCCTACCTCTCTCCAAAATTTTGTGATGGGGGATCTCATAATCTGAACTTGGATCTGGCTCTGAATTTCACATCTTATCTCCTCTCTCCCTCAAACTGGCTTAACTCTAACCTTGATCTGAATAATCCTGATCTTTGGGATAATTGTCACCTATTGAGTCTCCATTTGTATCTGCTGCCCTTCTGGGATTGATCCCATATTTCGCAGTAATCCTGGCTGAAGAGAACCCTGCAACAACCCTAATTCTTGGTCAGGTGCAGTTTGCTTTAGCTGATATTAGAGATGGGTAGCTCTCCTCTCATGGAGTTTGAGGATGTGCCACTTTTGTGTGTGTGTGTGAATGTTTGGTTTTTCTACAATTTAAACCCATGGCTTCCCCATTTCCCACCCCCGCTCCCCCAAAGGAAGAGTCAATTCAAAAAGGGAGGAGGAAATGAATTTCTCTGTAAATGACAGCATTTATGCTCTATATTAAGGAGAGAAAAATCTATCAAATGCTAGGCTGGCCTGAGTGGACGCCTTGCAAGCTACAACTGCACTGTACTTACATCTTTTACAAATCAGAGACTCTCTCCTCCCCTCTTTTTTTTTTTTTTTTTTACCCTTGTGCTGTATTTTCTTGGTACTCTGTCCATTGTCTGTTCCATTTTCCCCTAGGGATATTTTTCCTCGCTCCCATTTTCCACTCCTTTTCCAGCCTCTCTTTCACATTTGAACCAAAACTTGCAAACTCACAGGGTTCTCGTGGATTTGAAATGTCAAACAACTTGACTCATCCCTGGTTAACGTGGGCCTGGAACAACCCTCCATGTACTCACCCGGGGGTATTTCCATGGGTAGTTCTTTTGCTGGCAGTGTTTCTGCCTTGGCACTGCCCCAACACCTTATAGAAGCCCCTTCATTGTGACTTCATGGAGTTTTAGGGGTGGAGCTGGGGAGTGGCCACATGCTCCTTGGCACCATCCAGAGCAGCCTGCCCAGATTTCTGCATTAAATTGTATTCACTTTCTCTGTCTCCTTTCTGTGCCTGCTGCTCAGCAACTGCAGGGAGACTCTGCCAGTACCAGTGCTGTGATGTCACAGAAAACCACACAAGGATTCAGAGGTGGAAGGGAGTCTCTTTCCCATGAATCACTAGGATCTATGAGGTTGGGATGACTCCTCCGCACCCTATTAGGCACAACTGACAGGAAACTCTGCAAGTGGAACTTTAGGGAATTTTCTCTCTTCTCTTGTGGACTTCTCCCTGGAAGAGGCTGGGTTGGCCCACAAATAGCCTGGAGCTCACACCTTCTGATTGTCCATCAAATCCTGAGATTGCTGCAGTCTGCATTGTGCAACTACTCTAGCCCTGTGTCTGGTTCTTGGTTTGTCGGATATATTTGGTTACGAAGGGTGTTCTTGTTTTTCAAAGAACCTGACATTCTTGTGTAATTCTGCATTGTGTGTGTTTTAATACCCTCATAGAGCAACTAAGTACAGTTGTTAGGCGTGCTATGAAAAATATATACAGTGTCACTTTAATGCAGAAACTTCATTTATTTGGAATGTGTATACAGTTACACTGTGCTTTGGAAAGCTTTGCTTTTGACCGTTTTATCTGAGTGACTCACTTTTTTTTTTTTTTTCTCAAAAATTAGGTTTTTTAAAAAAAAAAAACCAGGTGAAAGGGCCTCTATTCTCATTTGATGAGGATCAGGGCAGTGTCAGCCTTGCTGCAAATACATCTGGTTATTACAGGAGAATTTCTCAGATGCAGAAAACAATGTTTAAAACAGAGATCTGGGGGTTACTGGCTCCTGACATTTATCAATGCTTCTTTGAAGAATGACTTGACAGCTGCGTACAGCAAAACCTGCTTTCCTCTCTGCCCCGTAATCAGTTTTCAAACTCCTGCTTTAATTCACATAAAACTGAAGTGAATTGATGAGTCAGTTCACATCTAGGCTTTCAGATGGGTTATATTTCCCATCCACTGCAAGCCGTGACAGCCATGCAAACCAACTACAGATTCACCAGCGATGATGACACTACTGCCCAGATGCCAACTGCTCCCCAGCCAATCCCACTCCATGCAGCTGTCCTTCCCAGTCGGTAGCCTCCCCTCTATAATAAAAATAGCTATACATGTCATTATGTTAAAAAACAAACACCAAAAAAGCAAGCACTGGTTGCTGCCTGTGGGAGTCTATATCTTCCAAGGAGTGTTCTCCCTGGCCCCAACCCTTTTGCTCCCCAAACCCTCCTTGTCACTGTCAGCTGTCCTGCTGTTCTATCTCATAAGACATAAGCCCCTTAAGACAGAGATTTCTTCTTTTTGTTTTCACCTATAAACCACCAGACACACCGATGGTTCTATATAAACAAATTATAATCCTCAGACCTTCCATTGATCCCAGCCCTTTTACCGCCGCATCTCAACTTCCTTGACCATTTTTGCCTTGTGATCCCATATTTTGTGGAACTGCCTTGGCTAAGAGGCACCACAAAAATACATCATTGTGACAGTCAGGGTCCCGACACCCTAAGGGGAGAGCAGAACCCAAAAGAGCAAACGATTGAATCACACAGTGTTATTGTGTATAAAAATATTTCAAGTAAGGTGTTTTACCAAAGCTTGTAACATTCAGAACTTGGTCATTATGAGCTATATGGACTGTGGTTATGAATTTATGTATTTGTGTAGATATGAAATGGTGATCATAATCTGTGCTGCAACATTCAGCTCCACCTCACAACAGGGAGTGGGCAGGCAGGCAGGGATGGCCTGCCTCCCCAACCAGACCAAGACTAGCTCCAAGCACCTAGCATTGTACAATCCAGGAGCAGACAAATGGTGGGCCGTTAGGGTTAATAGGAAAACACGGAGACATCCTGGCTAGAATTTCCCCACCCTAAATAACCATGAGTCACCATGCCAGGAGAGGAAGGGAAAAAAGACAGGGAGGGTGGGGAAGGGGGTGGAAGCCCTTAAACTTTATCTGAAGTTTTTATCCAGAAACTGAGGTGCAGGAAGCTATCCATGAAATTTCCTCTAAGACCAGTGGCATGCCAGGAAACTCTTCAGAGGCAATAGGTAGCATATTGGAAAAGGGGATTTGTCTAATGTAGAGGCATAAAGCCTGAAGTTGTGTATTTATTTTTATTTTCTGTGTAACTTGTATGTGTTTGCTTTTATTTCAGACTTCAGCTTTGAATCTGTGATATTTCTCTTAAATAAACCTTTTCTTTGTTTTTACCCCAAGCAGGCCTCTGGTGTGCAGACTGTGTGGGCCAAAGGAAACTGATTACTCTGGGGCTCGTTTCATGCCTTTAGGGGTGATGAACCAAAGGGAAAAAGTCGGAGTGTCTGGTAGTTAACTTGGGGTAGACGGCTTTGATGAGACTCGGGACCAGAAAGGCTGTTGGGGTCACCCTGCAAAGAGTAACCAGGCTGGTGGAAGCCAGGGTGAGACTTTTAGACTCGTGGCCTGGCTAGTGGTGTCAGGGCTCTAAGACACAGCAGCATAGCACAAAGGCACCCAAGATCACAGGGCAGGCAGTGACAGAACCTTACTGGTTTGGGTGATCCCCAAAACACCACAACCAGGCGTTCTGAAGAAATGGCACCTAGTTTAGAGAGCATGATGCTGCTCCAACATCAGCAGAGGCAGAGTGCAGCTGTGGGGAGGATCTGTGGATGGGAAAAGCAGGTGAGTGGGTGGGGGAGACAGAGGAAAGGACTAGGTGAGGATGAAGGGCCAGTTGCCTTTTGAAGAAGAGCCAAATATCTGTCTATAAGGATGGAAGGAGAGGAGGGTGGGGGGTAAAGGGCATTTTTAAACATTTAATTAGGGGTGGGATACAGAGCCATCGTCCTCACTGGTGCCATTTCAAGGTGGTAGTGATCAATGGTGAGCCAAGGTGGTAGTAACCAGAGACTGTTACCATCCAATGGCTGTGTGGTAGCCTATGGAAAATAAGGTGGTAGGCTCCAGTTCTTACTGGGCAAATGTCCATATTACTGAAACCACCACCAGTGCTAGAGCTTAAATTTTCACTCTTGTTAGTGTTCCCAGCTGAGAGGCCAAAGACCCCACAATCTGTGGAGACTGACCTCCCCTCTCACCCCAGAAGAAAATAACTGAGAAGCATCAGACGGGCGACATGAGGAAGAATGCACTGCCACTGCCCATGCTGTAGTTGTTCTGCAGGGAAACAAAGGACTTCAGCCTCCAGAACTGCCAATTTTGCATCATTTGTCTGAACTAAATTCAGAACAAAGAGTAGCTTGTATTAGATAAACAGGGAGAAATGTAATTGGTTTCCTGAACAAAACCAAACCTTAAAATATATTCTGACTCAGCTCAGTTAAACAGGAGTCTGGTTTGGGTCTTTCTCCAACCACTTGCCCATCCTCACTTCTCAACATGCATGAGCTACGCCTGCAAGTTAAGGTCTGAGGCCCCAGGTCAGTAGTCCCTGTCAGCCCAGCACTTAAACATCGACTTCAGTGAGAAATGGGCACCTGCTCCACCAAATTAGGTACCTGCTCCAGTGCTTGGACAGATCATGCTGAACTGCTCTGCTGCATAGGGACCTGAGAACAAAAGCTGAATTGGGGACCACAGAACGAGTAAAAACCAAGTGTAACAATCACAAAATACGATGTCCCTACAGATCATGGTTGGCAGATCAAAGCAGAGTTAGTTGTCCAGCTCCCGTGACATTCAATAGGAATTAGGCATTGGCCCCTTTGAAAATCCCATCCAACACTTTACAGTTGTATAGCTACTGAGCATCCTACTTAGAATTGCCATACATTCTTCTTTTTATCCCAGAGGTTCACCATTTCAGCCCCAAATTCTCTCTTGAGTATTTTGACACAAGTAGCATGGGACCCAGCAGTGCGAGAAAATCTGAGGTCTGAGGAGATTAATTTGCATTTTTTTAAAGGAAACAAACACCACACAAAGCAAGACTGGCACTCCACCCAGCTCCGCTACTTACCCAGCAGAAAGGCATCTCTCATTTCCCTTGTCAGCCCCTTGCACAGAGACAGAGAACTGCAGTGATAAAGAAAATACAAATGATGCCCCAAATTCACAGGATCAGCCACATTCCCCATTCTCCCTCCCCACTCCCTGACCGAGAGTTCCCATCTTGGAACTGGCATGGGAAAAATGTAGTCGCCGGCCCAGATTTGTAAAGGTATTTGTGTGTTGCTGTGCTCAGCGGTGCGACATCTAACTGACATAGGAGCCTACATCTAATTTTCAAAAGGGATTTAGGCAAATAGGCGTCTATCTCCCATTGACTGTTGAGGGAATTTAGACTCCCAAGTGACACCAAGCACAGCAACGCCTAGACACCTATAAAAATCTAGGCCATCATGGTTAGGTGGGGTAAGTGGGCTACCAAGCTGTTCTTCTACCTCTGCTGACTTAAACTGAAATCCTGGAAGACCAATGTTGGAATAGCAGGAAGGAGTTATAGGTCAGGATTGTAGTACCTTAGCAGAGCTGTATCTAGCAGCACCCATCTGCATTGTGTGTACCTCTATACAGATGGAAACTGGCTAAAGTATGAATTTAAACTCATGGGTCAAATTCATTCCTGGTGTCAACCCAACAAAACCAATGGAGTTACCCAGGGATA